GGAACCAAGGACAAGGCCTTCTCCTTCTCTGTCCATGTTTTGTTTTTCCGTTTTCTCTTTCTTTCTCTCGCTGTGCTGGAGTTTGAGCCGCGGGGCCTTGAATAGGCTGAGCAAGTACTCTACCGCCGAGCTACACCCCCAGCCAGTTCCCTTGTTTTCAATTTTGAGACAAAGTCTGCCCACATTGCCTGATTGGTAAGTGAAGTTTTAAGAGGTTTTATTTGGAAAGCTTTTGAACCTAGGGAAAGGAGGAAGCGTCACGGGGGCAATGGGATAAAATTAAATTTAAAAATAAAAAAAAAAAATTTTTTTTTTGAGTTAGGGTCTTGTTGTGTAGTTCTTCGTGGCCCTCATCTGAGTATGAGACCACGCTGGCCTTGGATTTGTGCTGATGATCCTCCTGCCTCAGCTTTCCAAGTGCTGGCTGAAATTACAGGTGGAGGCCAACACGCCCAGCATGGAGGTTTTAAATATTTATCAATGCTTCAAACTTGTGTTTCCCATTTCTGCCTGTCCACGAACAGCTTTCTTTTACTCACCGACCAGACGGCTAAGTTTTGTTTTTCTGTTTTTTGTTTTGTTTTGTTTTGTTCTGTTTTTTTTTTTGAGACAGGGTCTTTTCTCTGTAATTCAGGCTGACGTAGAATTCACTATGTAGCCCAGGGTGGCCTCGGACTTGGCAGTGATCCTCCTGCCTCAGCCTCCCAAGTGCTGGGATTACAGGCCTGGGGCATTACACTTGGGAAAGCATCTCAATTTTAATGATAAATGACATACCATCCACATCTCTTTCAAGTTTAAATTTTGGTTGGAAAAACAGAATTTTTTATTTTTTATTTTTTTGGTTTTTTGAGACAGGGTCTCACTATGGTAGTTGAGACTGACCTTGAACTCACTATGTAGCCCAGGCTGGTCTTGAACTCACAGCGATCCTCCTGCTTCACCGTCCCGAGTGCTGGGATTACAGGTGTGCACCACCGCACCCAGCTTGAGTTTCTGTTTTTAAAAGGTCATTCTGATGTGGCACAAAAAATAAAGACTGGTAAGACTGTATCACAGAAGTTAGGTGTATCGTGTCCTTAGAGGGAATGTTTATTTATCTTACACTGACAGGCACACAGTATTTAGGTCATCAGAGATAGCCAGGCCCCAATCACATGAAGGATGGGTCATGGAAGCCTGTGAGAGTTTGACAAGTCCCACGGATACAGGGGAAATAATATAACTGCTAACCTGCTAGATGTCAGGTACATTGAGTTGAACTTCCCCCAAATCAAATGAATTCTAAGGAACAACAGAGATTCAGAGTAGGAAAAACTTAGCACTCCTGAGAGACACGAGGGGACCCAAATGTGGGTTGTCAAGGAGCCCACTTCTCAAAGGAAGTTTTATAGAGCACAGTCATGAGGTGGGTACAATGTGGGTCGACATAATCAACCAGTAAGATTACAAGTACAACTGCTTAGGTAACAGTGATCCAGTGGGGAGGCAGGTCACTCTGTATAGCAGGTGTACATGGAAAGAACAAGGGCCTTTTTAGGAAGGGATGGATCAGGTGATCCTGGTCATCCACCTGGTGACTGTCTAGACTTTACTGGATCAGGTGATACCAATTATAGTAAAATCTTCAATTTATTGCTTATTCCTTGAGGAAGTATGTAGGCTTGGCCTTTGACAGATGTGTCTCCATCCAGTTGTAATGTGTTCTCATCTTGTGCAATGACTCCCTCAAAGGCCCAGCCCTGACTGCCTATATTCTACCCAACTTAGCAGTCTATAATATTCCTCACTCTTCAGAAGTATCTGTAACTGCCATGAGGAAGCAAAGGCTGATGAACATTCTGCCTTCTTCTAGCTGAAAGGGGTCTAGCTATGATCGGCAGTCAGATACTCTATAGAGACTCTCTCTAAAGGCACTCGATAGACACCAGGTGCTCTTGCCTTGGGTAGCCATATAACTTTAAATCTAGAGGAGACAAAGCCGAAGAAACAATTAAACATGCATGGGCCAGGTAAGATAGATAAGGCTATTATGAAGATAGTCAACCGTTGTTTCCACCAGGAAGAGCCAGTAATAGCCTCCCACAAAGAAGGTAAGGTGAAAGGTCCAGGAAATTTCAGAATCAGACATGGCATTAACCTGTCATTTAATATCTTTTCTTTTTCTTTTTTTTTTTTTGTACCAGGGGATTGAACTCCCGACCTTTTGCTTTGTGAGGCAGGCAGCAGAACCACTGAGCTAAATCTCTGGCCCTGTCATTTAATATCTTGAACAGCCATCACAATGCCAGCAGAAGAATCAGGAATGCACACATAACATTCAGCTTTTATGATTGAACAAATACCCCCTTGTGCTTTCTCTGTTCTACAAGGAAAGTCCTCAATTAAGTGAAAGTACCCAGATCAGTAGGTATTGGAGTGAGCCCCTTACTCTTTGGTGTATGAGTAAAATTGGGTTGCCAATTTACTCCACGGTATTTACCATTTCTCTGTTTACCTGGAGGGACTACTGTTTGGTTATGAGGATTGTTCTCTTGGCAGAGCTTACAATTATTTATTGGAAAGGGGCTCTCTCAAACAACATAACATTGAGGACATCTAGTGAGTCTTGTCTCTCCCCAAAAGGTTTGGGAATCAGATTTAATAATTTCCCATTGATAACACCCATGGGAGAGAGCCCATTTGACTTCAGAGAATACTTGGGTTGAGTATGGTCAAGGTACCCTTCCCATATCAGGGGGCATGAAAGGAGGGAAGGGGCTTCAGCAGCTTCTTTGTGGGGGGGGGGAGTTTGGGGGTTTTTTGAGACAGGGTCTTACTATGTAGTTGAGACTGACCTGGAACTCACTATGTAGCCCAGGCTGGTCTCAAACTCACAGTGATCCTCCTGCCTCAGCCTCCCGAGTGTTTGGATTACAGGCATGCGCCACCATGCCTGGCTTGAGCAGCTTCTTTTACAACTGCATCAACCAGTTGATTACCTTTTATCAACTCCTTTTTGGTGCCCTCTACAGTAAATTACCACCACTTTAGAGGGCATATACATACACAAGTGATTTTCATTTATCTCCTTATGGTAGCTTATGGGAGATTGATTGGCTGTTGGATAATCTTTTCTTTCCATATGGCTGCATGATCATGCAGCACTAGCAAAGTATACTTTCTTTTTTCTTGTTTTATTTTTTGAGACAGGGTCTCACTATGTAGTTGAGACTGACCTAGAACTCACTATGTAGTCCAGGCTGGTCTCGAATTCACAGCAATCCTCCTGCCTCAGCCTCCCGAGTGCTGGGATTACAGGCATGTGCCACCATGCCTGGCTATACTTTCAATCAGTATACATATTGATTTTCTGTCCTCACTGAGTTGTAAAGCCCTGGTCAGAGCTGAGTTCTGCTAGCTGGGCACTAGTCACAAGGGCAAGTGAGAAATCTTACAGTATTGATGTAGAGTCACTACTTTATACCCTGTCTTTCTTGCCCCATTTTCCATGAAGGACCAATCACAGAAGAGGGTCAAATCAGGGTCATTAAGGAGTGTGTCTAACAAGTCTGCTCCGGCTGTGTATGTATGGAGAATTACATGTTTGCAATCATGTCTTTCAGCTTCAATTTCCTCCTTTTGTGGTAGGTAGGTGGCAGGATTTAAGGAGGAACATGTATTAATTTGAATGGCTGGTCCTTCTAGAAGTACAGCCTGGAATTTAAGAAGTCAGTTGTCTGCTAGCCATATGCTCTTTGGAAAAAAGAAGCCCTGCCTGCCACATTGTGAGGTGTGATCTCAAGATCTTTGCCTAAAGTCAGTTTGGACACTTCTGGTACCAAGAGAGCTATGGGAACCACAGCATTAAGGCACACAGGCCCTCCCTTTGCTTCAGTGTCTTGATTCATGGCTCAGATACCATACAAGCTGTTGAGCAGATCCTTGGTCTTACATAAGCACTCCCAAAGCCATGCCCTCCCTGCATATTATCACCATATAGATTGGAATCCTGTCCCATTGGTAGGCTCAGTGCTGCGGCATTTAGAAGATCTTATTTAAGCTTCTGGAATACAGTTTGGGAATCAGGTTTCCAAGTTAAAATATGATGATCTGCCTTTTGGGCTCCTTTATAAGCTAATAGAGGGGTCATGTCATCTTACCAAAAGCCTGTCATTCCTAGGAATCTCTTTAGCTGTTTGGGGCTGCAGGAAAGAACATATTGGTTTAATTCTTTCTCCAGCCTTTGGGTTCTCTTAGGTATGACAAGGCCCAAGTAGTTTACCTCAAGGTTGCAAAGTTGTGCCTTAGACCTAGAGAACTTATAATCCCTATCTGCTGGAAAACTCAGCAGGACATGGCTGCCTTGGCTAGCGAACTCTGCTGAGAGGGCATGTAACAGTATGTCATCTATATATCGCAGACTGTGTCTTGGGAAAATTCAAAACATGCCAAATCAGGGGAAAGCACTTGCCAAAAATGATGAGTATCTCTGAGTCCTTGAGGAAGCACAGTCCAAATCAGTTGAGAGGCTTGGTAATGAGGATTTTCCAAGGCCAAAGGAAAATGGGAGAGCCAGGGAGATTTGGCTCAGAGTGGTGCCCATGCCTGCCTCCCAATCACAAGGTCCTGAGTTCAATCCCCAGTACCAAAAAAAAAAAAAAAAAAAAAAAAAAAAAAAAAAAAATCAAAAGGAAACAGAATGTGTATGTAAAGGAACACAAAAGAAGACATTTTTAAAATGTAACACTGAAAAACCAACATCTTCTGGGATCTGAGAAAGGAGAGTATATGGGTTAGGTCCCACCAGGTGGATTTTTTTTATACCGGGGATCGAACTCTTGTCTTTGTGCTTGTGAGGCAGGCAGCAGCACCACTGAGCTAAATCCCCAGCCCCAGGTGGACCGGCATTAAGGCCTCATTTACCATCTAAGGTTCTATACCAAGCTCTACTCTCCATTTTTTTAAACTCCCAAGACTGTAGGCAGTAGTCCTTTTTTAGTTTGGTACCAGGGATCAAACTTGGGACTTTGTGTTTGCAAGGCAGGTGGTGGAACCACTGAGCTAAATCCCGGGCACTAGTCATTTTTTAAATTTGTCCTTTTTAAACTTTTAAAGCTTCATTATAGGGTAATGTCTCCAGTGAGGAAAAATACGATCTTTGAGATGTATTTGCACCAGGGAAGCTCTTATTGCTCTTTCTACTTTGCCTTTAGTTGCCCATACTTCAGGATTTGTCTTCACAAGTTGGAGGCAGCATATCTGACTTGGGTGTATGTATATTACAGTATTTAAATAACATCTTTCTCCCCAGGAGGGGAACTAGACTTTCAGGCATAATTAAAAAATGGGAAAAGAGAAGGCCTAAGGAAGGGTTGTGAGAAACAGCAAGTTACTACCTCTTCAGTGACTCCTTTCACTGAAGTATGACAGCTGGAAGAAAGGCAGGGGTCGAAAAGGACTGAGAGACACATGCCAGTGTCCGATGATAGGCTGGTTTCTTATCCCTGTCTATAGTCATGATTATCCAAGGCTCCCCTGTGGAGGTGACAGTCTGGCCATATGAAGAAGGCAGAGAGTGCCTTAGGTCCCTTCAGTCTTGCTGGAACAGCTGGTTAAATGGGTCTGATGGGTCTGATCCCTAAGACCTCTGTCCCAAGGGCCAGTCCAATTTTCAGTGGTCACCTTTGCAACTGGGACATGGCTCAGGGGCCCTCTTGTTGTGACAGTTTTTTGGGTTTTTTTGTTGTTGTTGTTGTTGTTGTTTTGGTTTTTTGAAACAGGGTCTCACTATGTAGTTGAGACTGACCTGGAACTCACTACATAGCCCAGGCTGGTCTTGAACTTACAGTGATCCTCCTGCCTCAGCCTCCTGAGTGCTGGGACTAAAGGCATGTGCCACCACACCTGGCTATGACAGATGTTTTAATAACAGTCCCTCTTAAGGTGGCCTGGCTTTTTGCAGCAGTAGTAAGTGAATTTAGTTGTTGATCTCTTCTTGGAGCTCCACAACTCAGATTTAAGAAGTCTATTCTTTTTATAGCCACAACCAAGGCAGCTACTTTCTTTTGGTCTCTTTGTTTTCTTCCCTTGGCTTCTTCCTGGTCTCAATTATAAAAATTGAGAAGGTAATTATCATTAAAGTATCAAGCTTTCTGAAGCAAATGCCATCTTTTTCATAGGTTTTTTCCTAATAGCTGAGGCTTTCAAGGCCAGCCTGAACTACATAACAAGGCCCTGTCCACCCCCCGCAAAAATTAGTATCTTAGGCTGACTGGGTGACAAACTTGTCTTTAAGAATAATCTATCCTGAGTTCAATCCCCCCGTAAAAAAAAAAAAAAAAAAAAAAAAAAGAATCTGTCCTTCTAACAAATCAGGAGCCAGGATGGATGTATGTTTCATCAATGCCTCTTGTAAATGATCTAAGAAGGCAGAGGGGTTCTCATCTTTCTCTTAATGAATAACTCACAATTTAAAATAATCGAAGGGCTTAATTCTTAGACCTTTGAGAATACATGACTAAAGATTTTTTTTTGGTACCAGGGCCCTCGGATCCTTGTGCTTGTGAGGCAGGCGGTGGAACCACTGAGCTAATTCCCTGGCCCTAAGATGTTTCATATTGTAATCTTCCACCTGGTTGTTGGGCCAGGAGGGATCTTGTGCAGAGACTACTTAGGCTCCAGTAGGAACTGGCCATTCTCCTGGCTGCCTGTCCTCTGGCTTTCTAAAATTAACAATATGGGCCAGGGATGTAGCTCAGTGGTACTGCATCTACCTAGCAAGTGCAAAGTCCTGAGTTCAATCCCCAGTACTGCAAAATAAACAAGCATTATGATATTCATCTCCAAATATAATGGGAACTTGTAATGATGTTAGAAATCAATGTTTGATTTAAGAGTATAACATTAAATCTTTGCAGTCTAGTTCATAGGTCTGAGTAAGTCCCCTAAATACCTCAATGTACTTAATAGCAGGGTTGTCTGAAACTTTCCCAGATCTTGTTTGAGGTCACAGACAAAAGGACACATGGACATGGGTAGAGCCAAATTCTCTACCCACCTCCTATAAGGGATATTGTCCTTGAGAAGCTTGAACAAGATCAGACAGGGATGGATACAGCCCAGCAGAAGCTTCAATTAAGGTTGACTTGGAAGCCTCACCCTTACAGTCTGGAGGACAAGGGAGGGGGACCTCAGCCTCAGTAATACTAGGTGTAAAGGTTGTCTTGGAAACCTCATCATTAGGATCTAAAGGGCAAAGGAGGGGAACCTTAGACTCCGTAATAACAGTAGATACATCTGTGCCTTAAGGGCCAGAGAAGCCTGCTTTTCCTGTGGCTTACATTTACATTTTGAACACAAGGATTATCTCTTACTGAAAAATAAAGTCTGAACATAGGGTAATTCTGCCCATTTTCCTCTCTCACAGTACAATTCTAGTTGTGAAATAGTATCGTAATCAATACTTAACTCTGCGTTCCATTTTGCCTCTAGAAAGTTGGCAAACTATGATGGGTGCAGGAAAGTATTGAACAGCTCTTTCTCAATGTGTGAAGGTTGGACAATTTCTAGTGTTTAAGAATGCATTACAGCCGGGCGTGATGGCACACACCTGTAATCCCAGCACTTGGGAGGCTGAGGCAGGAGGATCGCTGTGAATTCAAGACCAGCCTGGGCTACATAGTGCTCCAAGTCAGTCTCAACTACATAGTGAGACCCTGTCTCAAAAAAACAAAACAAAACAAAACAAAAAAGAATGCATGATAGGGGCCAGGGATTTAGCCCAGTGCTTCTGCCCGTCTTGCAAGCACAAGGTCCCAAGATCAATTCCCAGTACCAAAACAAAAACAAAAACAAAAAAAGAATGCTTACGGCTGGGTGTGGTGGAGCACTCCTGTAATCCCAGCACTTGGGAGGCTGAGGCAGGAGGATTGCTGTGAATTTGACCAGTCTGGGCTACATAGTGAGTTCCAGGTCAGCCTCAACTACATAGTGAGACCCTGCTTAAAAAAAAAAAAAAAATTACAGGCCAGGGATTTAGCTCAGTGGTTCCATCTCCTGCTTCACAAGTGCAAGGACCTGAGTTCCATCCCTGGTACCACACACACACAAAAAAAAACTACGAAGGAGTAAGAAAATTTAACTTTGAGCTTCCCATCTTCAACAAGGGGAAAATAGGTGTCCCTTTTAATCCCTACTTTTTTTTAAAAATTTTTTTTTGTACTGGGGATCAAACTCGAGACCTTGTTGCCTGCGAGGCAGGCGGCAGCACCACCAGAGCTATATCCTCAGCCCTGCTTTTTTCTTTTTTGAGACAGGGTCTCACTATGTAGCCCAGGCTGGCCTCGAACTCTTGGCAAACCTCTTGCCTCAGTCTCCTGAGTGCTGGGATTACAGGTGCAGCACCGCTCTGGCTCTCCTTGGTTTCTGTATCCTCTCAAGGTGTCGCCCAAGGTGACCTTTCAGAAGGTGGCTGCTGTCTGGCAACTGACCAGGTCAGACTAGTCACCCTTACCAACACATGGTCCTACCTTCTTCAGAAACTCACACTCCTAATTCCAGCATGTGTTTCCAAAAGCACAAGCTACAAGGGGTTCCAGCTGTAGCACTCATGTTTAAAGAAGGAAGCAATGCTAGCAGAATTAGAACAATAATCAAGAGACCTTAACAACTGTTTTCCAATTCTTTTAAAGAGAACAGAGGGGGGATCAAAGGGCAAATTGGAAGTGGTTGGAGCCCTTCTCAGCCTGTGCAAAAAACAACAAAAACAACAACAACAACAACAACAAAAACCACTTCCAGAGATAGAGGCAAGTAATGGCTTGGAAAAAATCCTTCCCTGGGCCCGAGGGCAACAAAGTCCCCAAGAAATTTGTGCGGTCTACCTAATACTAGGCAGTCTTCCTTCGCAGCAAAGACAAGGCTAAATTTCTACCTCTGTATCTGCAACACACTTAGGAAACTCACCTGTACCCATTGTGCAACAACAACTTACACATTAGTGAAAGTACTTCCTTCCCTTACACACATGAAAAATAACAAGGCCTAGGGTAGGGGGAGAGAGCCATGAAGTAGGGGATTCCCTTAAACTGAATGTGTTTTGGTTCCTTACATATTGTGGCTTTAGGAAATAACTCCTTCTGGTCTCACACAGAAGTCAGTTCTTTACATGGGGTCTCAGGTTCCGTTTCCTAGAGGCAGGAGTCTGTGCCTAGAACACTAAGCGAGACATCACTTTCATGTGTGTTCTCCTGGATGGATACAATTTGGATGTTTCATTTGACCCAGAGACTGGGTATGTGTTCTTCATCTAAGCTGACTTCCCTGTCTTCAGCATTAGCAAATACTCATTTTTTCTTTTAAAACTTAATGTAATTTTATAAGATATAAATGGTGGCCTCTCTGAGCTACCTGGCTCCGGGAGTGCCATCTGGCCAGACTAATAAAGGTCTATTTACCATCCAGCCTGGTGTGTTCCTTCCTGGGTTTCTCGTTTCTCCGTCAAGCTCCCAGAGCCTCGCTGGGTGTTAGGGCCCAGCATCGTGGAGGCATTTTTGGCTCCGTGGAGTGGAAGTGAGACTTTAAATCTTACATATTGGAGGCCCCAGCGAGATGCCCAAGTGGGAACTGTAAATCCAGCCGAGTTTCTCTGTCGTGGGATCCAGCAGGAGATTCTCAGACATAGACCTTTGAAAGCCTCCGGAGGTAAGCTTTGAACCAGTTGCAACTGTCTGTCAGGATGGAGGTGGCTGACAAGCCAGGAAGCCTCCTCTGACCCCGGCCCTGACGAGGACTCCGGGTAGTAGAATCAAAGCTGTTTTCTGTGGCGTCTGTTTGTCTTGTCAGTGTCTTGTCTGTTTTGTGTTAACTTTGTGTTTTCCTTGAAACAGGGATGGGAAGATCCAGCTCCAAGAACACCCCGCTGGATTGCTTTCTCAGTCATTTTAAAATTGTTTTTTTCCCCTGAGCAGGAGGATGATTACGGGGTTAAATTCTCTCATGGAAAGCTTTGCTCCCTGTGTCAACCCGAGTCTCACCGGAGCAAGCAACTGTCTGCCTCCTCGGAAGGGAAAAGGCGCGCCCTCAGGATTTCCTGGGTTCCCTTTCTAGGACGCAGAGGCCAGCTCATCAATAGTAAAACAGAAAGAAGGAAAATGAATAAAATCATCTGTCTGAATGGTGAGATCCCCTGGGCTGCTCCCTAGTTTGTCTTTAAAAGGGGACCCAGGGAGGGAATGTATTAACTTCTTATGTGACTGTGTGTATGAAAGAGAGTTGGTTAGGAGAGTGAGTGGAACAAGCTCGGTAGCCTCCTTTGTACATCAAAAGAAAGGGAGGGTGGCTTGCGCTCAAAGAGCCCTCCAGGCGAATAAACAAGGCTGTTTACTGGAACAGCACCCCATCCTTTGTCTTGCATCACCGGACAAGGGAATATCTAATAGTTATGGGAAATGCTAATACTAAACCAACTGTTCTCAAGTGCATAATTCAAAATTTTGATACAGATTTTATGGGGGACTATAAGATAAAACTGCAACCAAAGATGCTTAAAAACTTTGTGAGTTATCATGGTCTCAGCTAAGCCAGACTTGGCCCCCAGAAAAGTTATCTGCCTTTGTTTTTCTTACCTGAGACTTTGATAATGTGGAGCCTCTTGTGCTCTAGGAGCTGCTTTGACTTCTCGCCCTCCACCCACTGCCCCTATTCTAGAGATTAAAAAGGAGTTTAAGGATCCTAATAAGGATATGGCTTTGGAAGTAGAACAATTAAGAAAAAGTTCAATTGGCTGAAGAAAAACAATCACTTCTCTGGTGGCTAGAGGATATAATCAAAATTGATAAAAGGGCTCCATTGTGTAAAGGAGAAGTAGTTAATAAGCTTACCCCGCTCCAAGAGGTGTTGAGGGAAGCCAAAAAGGAAGGAGAAAATTTAGGCAGTCTTAGTTCTTATGCCTATCCTGTTGTTGAGGAGTTAGATGGCCAGGGACAAAGGGTAAGAGGACATAGACCTATAGATTTTAAAATGGTTAAAGAATTAAAAATGGCCGCAGCTCAGTGTGGGACAAATGCTGCATTCACTCTGGCTATTGTTGAATCATTGCAGTTATCTTATATGACTCCTAATGATTGGAAAATGGTCTGTAAAGCAACCCTAATTGGGGGCGATTTTCTTTTATGGAAGTGCAATTTTTTTTTGATAATTGTAAAGAGACTGCCCGCCAGAATGCTCTTGCCGATATGGGTCATGTTAATTTTGAAATGTTATGTGGTGAAGGTGCTTATGAAGGAACCTATCAACAGATTAATTACAACCCTCCTGTCTATGCACAAATTGCCTTAACTGCTCAGCTGTAACTTGTCTCTTGGCCTCGTGTTGGTAGGGAAATAAAACTTTTAATAGATATGTAGGACTAGTAAGGGTCCCTCTAGCCCAATGGATCCCTGTGGAACTCGAACAGCATTATTATACTATAGCCTTGATGATGAGAGCTAAACGGGACTTTGGAATTTCAGCTATTACTGTGGCTGCAGTGCTGCTGCCTCTGCAGCCGTCGCCACTGTTACATTGTCCCAGACAGCCATACAAGCTCATGCCATCAATCAGCTGGTGAAAGTGTCTACATGTGCCTGGCAAGCTCAAGAAGACGTCAACAGTCACTTTTACGAGGGACTATTGTTAATTCAAGGACAAATTCATCTATATAGATTGGTTAAAAGTGCTTGTGATCCAAGATTTGATTTCTGTGTTACACCTATCAGAGTTAGCAATGGCAGTCTAGAAAGGAAATTGCTCCGAAAAAATTTTCATGAACATTGGACTGCTAAATATTTCAATTTGACCCAGCAATTGTCTAAGAAAATTTATAAGTTATCCTCTATACATGTTAATCCTTTTGAAGTGGATACCGCTTTTCTTGATAGGATTTGGGAGAATTTAAAGAACTTGTTTGATCCTTCCTGGATTGTGATATATGTTTGTATGGGAGGTATTGTTTTAATTCTGTTGTTAGGAATAAGATATTGGTTCCGATAAAAACAAAGACAGGCCTATATACAGCGCAAGACCCTACATGCACTCATGGCCCTCAAGGAAGGCTCCCACGAAAATTTGGGTATTTACCTCGCTCAGATAAAAAGAGAGCTTCAATGAGGGTCCAGTAAGTCAATGACGGGTAAGAGGAGGAGAATCAGATGATCAACCTAAGACAGGAACACTTTCATAAACTGTTGGTGTTTCCTATGACGGGTAAGACTTCTGGTGGCTCCTCCCGACCTAAGACAGGCTGGGACATACCCTTGGGAAACATTAAAATTTATAAAAACAAAGGAGGAATTGTTGGGCACTGGCCTGTGAGCTGGTGGAAGTGCTGCCATCTAGAGCTAAGTGGAACCATTTTTAGAGATAAATTTCCTTCCTGAAGTTAAATTTCTAGAATTGTAGTTCTTTGTCCTAGTACACACCCATTAATCACCCATTAAGGTTGCCTTTGTGATTATAGCCCATAATCGTTTGTAGTTAAACCTACTTCCCTCTTTCGATTGTGGTTTTTTGCTTTAAAAGTCTGATGCTTGCCTGCCTTGATCATAAAAAAAAAAAAAAAAAAAAAAAAAAGATATAAATGGTTGGTTAATGGACAGGCATCACCAACCTGACTGACTTCACTAGCCTGTGGAAAAAATATTTCTATATTATCCAACCTAACAATGATTGTGCATGTGCTGGTTAAAAATGTCATCTTGGACCCCACATTTATATGATAAATAATTCTAATTTATACAATCATCTTTCTTTTGAGGCCTGGCCTTTGACAGATGTGCCTCCATCCATAGTTGCAATGTATTCTCATCTTGTGCACTGACTCCCTCAAGGGCCCAGCCCTATCTCACTCTCTAGTATTTCTATTTCTACCCAACTTAGCTGCCCTATAATACTGCCATCCTCGTTACAGAAAGACATGCAGTCGGAGAACTTAAAATAACTCCCTTGTACCAATATTCCTGAACATGGACAGAAGCCTGGGACTCACCCCTTGAGCTGAAAGGATATTAGAGTGACTGCATATTTAGCTGGTAGCAATTATATTTCTTTGGTAGCAACTATCTTAAACCAGCTTAAAGCTGCCCAGGAATCCTTATATTAAACATTTCTGCACTTCTGCAAACTTTTTAGTAAAGAACCACTCTCCATTTCAGATGACAAAAAAAAGCCAACCAGCTGCCTTACTGGGTGTTTTCTGCTGGGTCCCTCAGACCTGGGAAGCTCCTCTTATGCTACCTATGGCCTGATTCCCCTGGACCTCATACCCATTTATTTCCCTCTGACTTTCCAGGAAGAGAAAGGAGAGAGCCAAGGAAGCTCTTCAGGCCATCTGATATCAAGAGCCTCATTTTCTCTTTCCAGTCCTACCTCTTGGGGTGGCCCAGTTTCCAGTGGACACTAATGTAAAGGAGACCACAATAGCCAATGCCACACAGGGCACCTACGTGGAAGTAGGGCTGTGTGTTGCAGTTCGTTGAGGTTGTATCCACCCTTACAGGAGGACTTCCCAAAAGCAAGGTGAGCTACTGAAAAGCCACTGGGGGGGCGGAGCTGTTTTCTTGAGGTCTTAAAACAAGTCCTGCTGGGTGTGGTGGTACACACCTGTGATCTCAGCCCTCAGGAGGCTGAAGCAGCAGGACTGCCGAAAGTTTGAGGCCAGCCTGAGCTCCACAGTGAATTCAAGGCCAGCCTGAACTACTTACTGAGACCCATCTCAAAACACCTAAAAATGAGGCCAGGGATTTAGCTCAATGGTTCCACCACCTGCTTTGTAAGCACAAGGTCCCAAATTTGATCCCTGGAACAAAAAAACAAACAAACAAAATTTTTTTAATTAAAAAGAGAAGCCCTGGGCCAGGGATTTAGCTCAGTGGTTCCACTGCCCACCTTGGCAAGCACAAGGACCTGAGTTCAATCCCTGGTACCAAAAACAAAACCAAAAAAAAAGCCCTGCAGTGATAACCTTACATATGCACAGCACTCCAGGAACTCCACCACCTGCAACACCTGGCAGTATGTTCCCTTTGGCAGCATGTACGCTACACCTGGTGGAGACACCCAATGCTGGCCATACCAGCCTTTGATGGAAATGCAGGATTGGGTGCAAAGGTGAATGGTGCGAGGACAGCAGACTTCCCAAAGGGCAGAGAATGGGCCCAGGGGGCTTTAGAGAAATGGAACAAGGAGAGGATTTGTCCATGACTGCCTCCAACTCCCTCCTTCAACAGCTGAGGAAACTGAGGCAGAGAAGAGTGAAATCACTTGCCCAAGGCCCAAGGCCTAATGAGTAATAGAAGTAGAGGGCAAGAAGGAGATTGCACAGAGGGGCTGGCACTTCACATAATCCATATTTTCACATTTGTCCTATTATTTAGTCCTCACTGAAACACATCACACGGGTCCGTGAGTGGCCTCAGGCAGGTTACATAATGTCAGTGGGCTTATGTTTCCTGAGGTGTAAAATGAGGTCAATAACAGTACTGTACTGACCTGAGAGGCTGTTGAAAGTTAACACATAAAAAATCTGTTTTGGAACAACACCTGACTGGTGACAAGGGCTGGGCAAATGCGTCAGACACTACTGTCATTCTCCACCCTCAACAGATGACTTTCTTTGGTGGGGCAGGGGCTGGTGTGAGACAAAGTCATGTCTACATAGCATGTAGTCCAGGCTGGCCTTGAACACACAGAGCTCCACCGAGTGCTGAGAGGCCTGCGCCACCGTGCTGCTTAACAGAAGACAAAGCTGAGGTTCTAGAGAGATTCACTAGATTTGCCCAAGGTTTTACAGCTGGTTCACTTGCTCTAACCCAGGCGGGCCTGTGTGTCCAATGCAGTGCCAAGACTGCTGCGAGCTATGGGATCCTGACTCTCGGGTCGGAGCTCCTCCACTGGACATGACTGCAGAGTGGGGCTCCCTTACCGGGGTGCTGCGATCCTTCCCAGCTGCCAACGCCCAGGTCTGTGGGTTTTGACCCTTCTCGTCATGAAGCCGCAGGTCACCCCCTGCATCCAGTAGTTTACTGAGGATCCACTGACTGCCTGAAAATGCTGCTGCATGGACAGGGGTGCTGCCATCAAAGCAGCGGCTGCGGACAAAAGGGGAATGGGTAGAGTGAGTGTCCATGGGAACACCCCTTCCCTCCACGGAGAGAGACAGGGCTCCCCGGCACGATGGCAACCTTTAGTGATGAAGATTAGAAGAGACCTCTGGCCTCTGCCAACGGGAGCTTTACACACATCCCTTTTTCTATCCTTACCTCAGCCCGTCAAGGCGGCACCATCTTGCGCAGCCGAGATGAGGAATCAAAAGTGCAAAGCTGAGGTTCACACTGAGAGATGGGTCTGATTCCACACCCCAGAGTTCTTCCCCTACTACCCTGTGATACTGGCTGCCCTGAAACGCTTCCTTCACGTCTACAGGCTCCTAGGGGTCAGGCTGATCGAGCACAGGAGGACCAGAGATTAGTGCTCTTCTCACCGCCACCCCCATCCTGTGGCAGGAGGCCCCGAAACCCTCAGCATCACCTTTCCGGGAAAAGTTCACCAGTTATACTTTTATGGCGTAGATCTAGACTGTCCCCTAAAGTCTTGTGTTTGACACAGGGCTTTTGGAAAGTGACTGGATGATGGAGCGCTATACTCACTTGTGGACTGATCCATTGATTAGTGCCTGGTTGAAAGAGGCGCGTCACTGGGGTGTGCCTTTCTCTAGAGGTTCTGTTTCCCTGTCTGCCTCTTCACTTCTCTGCTTCCTAGCTGCCATGGACTAAGCACCTTTCCTCCACCATGCACTTTCGGCTTTCTCTCAATGGAACCACCATGCCTTCCCACCATGCTGTTTCTGCCTTCTGCAATCCAAACACGGACTGAACCCATAGGAAATGGAGCCAAATAAACCTCTCTTCCTTTAGCTTATGTGTGTTGGGTATCTTGTCCCAGCAACAAGAACATGACTAATATGCCAGTAAATGATAGAGGCCACAAAAGGACAGGCTGTATTGTGTGCGGAATATGTGGTATGTAGCTCGAGCTAACCTGGTTGCACATGAGAATGACCTGGAGCACTCTCTCCCAAAAATTGAAAGAGAAACAAAAACCAGGGCACAGCAGCTCACACCTACCTCTCTGGAGGCTGAGGCAGGATGGCAATTTTCAGGCCAGCCTGGGCTACACAGTGAGTATGAGACTAACCTGGGCCACACAGCAAAACCCTGTCTTAAAAAAAAAAAAAAATCATCTAAACAAAACACAAACAGAAGGAAAAAACAGAAGAAGAATTAAGAACTGGAGCACAAGGATGATGACTAGAAAAAAACAATACTTTTCCAACTTTCCAATTCCACTGGGGGGGGTGGTGCTTTTAAACTCCAGACAGACGCCCAGGTTTCTTGCTCAAAGGCAATACTAGTATAATTAGTTTTTGTTTTGTTTTGGATTGAACCCAGAGCCCTGCATACATCAGGCCAATGCTCTATCACTGAGTTACATCCTCAGTCCCTAATACAAATTTGTGTTTGAGGCCAGGCTAGACAATTTAGCAAGACTATCTCAACACAATTAAAAAGAGCTGGGGATATAGCTCCATGGTACAGCAGTTGTGTAGCATTCATGAGGCCCTGGGTTCAGTCTTTAATACTTTAAAAAAAATTATGTGCTACATAAGCTGTTCATGTAAATTTTTACATCTAACACATCTTGGAAATTTTTCCACAGGAGAAAACAAGTCATTTCACACTTCCTTTCAACAGCATCACAGCTTGGAAACCTAGTTGTGGGGATGTTAAATCACTTAAGCAAATGGAATACATGATATAAATTTTAACCCAGGAGTGGAAGTAAGCCAATGGTGCTTGTAATCAGTAATTAATGAACAGATGGTACCTGGGAGGGTCCTGGGAAGAGCCGAAGTGTTTCATAAAAAAGATTCACATCTGGTCAATTCTCTGCACTGTGTTGTTCTTGCATATTAAATCAGAGCCAACTGCTGGACTCAGATTCTTTTAAGTCTGAACTATAAAAGTCAGGAAGTCATCCTTCCTTTTTTCTTTTCTTTTTTGGTACCAGGGATTGAACTCTGGACCTTTCACTTTCAAGGCAGGTGGTGGCACCACTGAGCTAAATCCCCAGTGGGAAGTCATCTTTTCTTACAAACTAATTCCTCCTGGTGACGAACCTGGTTTTGGAGATGTTAAATTGCTTAAGTAAATGGAGTACATGATACATTTATAACCCAGGAATAGAAATATGTGAACAGTGCTGTTAATGAGTCAGCAATTAACATCTTCACTTAATCATTTCAGTGAATTTATGTAATTGTTTACAAAAATTTCATTGACATTTAAATTATTTTTCACCATGGGCACATGTGAAGTACACACAACTGTACTTTATTGGTATAAATTAGCACAGGTTCTCTTTTAACTCAGAACTCATTGTCCCTGGCTGGCCTCTAACTTGGGGGTGGATCCTATACCTCAGCCTCCCAGTGCTGGGATCATAGCTGTGTGCCACCACATCCAGCTCACCTCTCCTTTGTTGTTTTTTGTTTTGAGACAGGATCTCCCTATGTAGTTCAGGTTGGCCTCAAACTCACAGCGATTCTCCTGCCTCAGCCTCCTAGGATTACAGGTGAGGGCCACCATGCCTAGTGTCCCTACTTCTTTTAAGAGCGAATGGTGGCATGTGTCTGTTATTCCAGCACTCTAGAAAGGCTACAGCATCAGGATAGCAAGTTCAACTGAGAGCCCAGTATAGGCACTTTACCAACTTGGTCAAACCCTATTTCAAAATAAAAAGGGCTGTGGATGTAGCTCACTGTGAAGGACCAGGGCTCAACACCAACCCCTCCAAAAAACCCCAAACCAAACAAAATCCATTCTTCAATTTCTAGACATTCCTGTTATTGTACGTAATGATTTAGATCTGATCCATAGGTGTCTACCAGAACATCAACTAATTTCATAAAGCCCAATAATTCTACCAGAGAAAGTGCTGTCTACCGAGGGGAATTTACTTCATCAACATATATAAATCCTGAAAACCAAACATAGAATCAATCCAAATATCAAGAATGTTCCTAGATGGGCATGGTGCTGCACACCTGTGGTCGTAGCACTCTGGAGGCTGAGGCAGGAGAATTGCCACTAGTTTGAGGTCAGTCTAGGCTATACATTCCATTGAAGGCCAGCCTGAACTACATAGAGACTCTATTTCAAAAAACCAAAAAAGTTCCTGAAAAAGAACGAGGAATTTTATATGGGGAAGTAATTTTATGCTGTACTTTTAATTGCTGGTGTAAAATTTAAAACTAAAGTCACCCAGCATGGTAACAAATGTTTCTAATCTAAACTACAGAGGTGGTGAGGCAAGTATTTGAAATTGAAGGCAAAGTTGGGCGACTTTGAACTTGAAAGAGACGTGGATGGTATGTCATTTATCATTAAAACTGAGATGCTTTCCCAAGTGTAATGCCCCAGGCCTGTAATCCCAGCACTTGGGAGGCTGAGGCAGGAGGATCACTGCCAAGTCCGAGGCCACCCTGGGCTACATAGTGAATTCTACGTCAGCCTGAATTACAGAGAAAAGACCCTGTCTCAAAAAAAAAAAACAGAACAAAACAAAACAAAAAACAGAAAAACAAAACTTAGCCGTCTGGTCGGTGAGTAAAAGAAAGCTGTTCGTGGACAGGCAGAAATGGGAAACACAAGTTTGAAGCATTGATAAATATTTAAAACCTCCATGCTGGGCGTGTTGGCCTCCACCTGTAATTTCAGCCAGCACTTGGAAAGCTGAGGCAGGAGGATCATCAGCACAAATCCAAGGCCAGCGTGGTCTCATACTCAGATGAGGGCCACGAAGAACTACACAACAAGACCCTAACTCAAAAAAAAAATTTTTTTTTTTTATTTTTAAATTTAATTTTATCCCATTGCCCCCGTGACGCTTCCTCCTTTCCCTAGGTTCAAAAGCTTTCCAAATAAAACCTCTTAAAACTTCACTTACCAATCAGGCAATGTGGGCAGACTTTGTCTCAAAATTGAAAACAAGGGAACTGGCTGGGGGTGTAGCTCGGCGGTAGAGTACTTGCTCAGCCTATTCAAGGCCCCGCGGCTCAAACTCCAGCACAGCGAGAGAAAGAAAGAGAAAACGGAAAAACAAAACATGGACAGAGAAGGAGAAGGCCTTGTCCTTGGTTCCACACAGATGATGTAAAATACAAGGCCATCCCAGCCGGCCGCGGTGGTCCCGTGTAGTCGGAGCCTTCCGGGCGAGCGAGACAGGAGGCTCCCACAAGCTCAAGGCCAGCCTAGGAAATGAAAGCCCGTAAAAGGGGTTGGCAACACAACACGTTAACTAGCTCGGCGCCGAAGGCCCTGCCTGGGTTCATCCCCACTACCAGCTTATTCGCTGCAGCAGAGGATTTCACCGTTAACAGTAGAAAAATTTGAGTTAAAATGTGAGGTGAGCCGGGGCAGTTAAGGGACTTAATTAAGAGAGAGGCCGTCTGAAAATAGAAGCGAAGCCAGTAGGGCTGGGATGGGGTCTAGACCACCGACCCAAGCAGGAAAGAACCCCGTCCAGACGGACAGCTCAGCTTGGTGGGCGGCGTGGTGGTTGTCGCGTCTTCGGTACCCAGACCCGGGAAAGGAGCGGTAAAGAGTACGGCAGGGGCACAGGTGGGAGGCTAAGG